TATCATCATACGGTAATTATTCCACACAAATGTCGAACTTCAAATCAAGTGGATTTTTAACGGATGATAAAATTTCTACTTGAAATGAAGAGAACATTAGTTTAACCTATTTAACTTTATACCGTCATCTAATGGTTTGTTGCTAAAGCTTTCCACGAACGATAATAATAGCAACGCATGCTTTACATGTCAGATATTTTGTTAGAAAGAAATACATAAGCGAATGAATAAGCAGTAATTTTGGAACAATTATAATTAATTATTATTTAGGTACCGGTATAAGATTAATCAATGGGCACGTTAATAATAGCATGAAATGTGTTAAAATGTTAAATAGTTGATAGCTATGACTGAGGTTATAACGTTAGTTAAATTTGCTAGCTCTACTGCGCGATATCATCTCTATTTTCTATCCCGTTCTTAAAATCTAGATCGTGCGACTTTAATATCAGTTCAGAGGAAGAATTACTGCTAGATCGCAACAAACGATTCAAGCCGCTACCAAAATTTAATCAAAAAGAATGGACAAAGGCTATTTATCGTCGTTACCGAATAGTCAAATTCAATCGAGATCAATATGGCCCAACTATGGAAAAGCAAGCAGATTTTACTGCACTCGATTGGTTTAACTTGTTCTTTCCTGATAAACTTTGGCAAGCTATTGCTATTCATAGCAATAGTCGCGTAGCTCAACTATTAGCTGTAGGTAAAATGAGTGAACAAGTTGTGGATTGGATACCATTAGATGTTAAAACTCTAAAAGCATTTGTTGGCATGGCTATTATAATGGGAAGTATAAAATTTCCTAGAGTGACTATGTATTGGCAACAATCTCGTAAATATTCATCACTGGGCTATTTCCCGTATGTCTTGTCAATGCGGCGATTTAGTCAAATTTTAAATAATTTAGAATTTGATTCTCCTAATAGCAAAAGTAGCAAAAATACCAATGACTCATTAGGTAAAGTTCGTCTGTTATTGGACGGAATTATTCCTTGCTTCAAGCAGCATTACATGCCTTCTGAAGAATTAAGAATCAGTCAAGCAGCACTTCCTTATGCAGGTAATCATGCACTAGATGCTCGACGTCGTGATGGAAGATGCAATAGTTTAAATGTGCGCATTATTTCTGAAATTTCAACGGGTTATATATTCAATTTACACATTGATCGAGCTTCATCTTCTAATTCAATCAATGATGGCTACAATCGAATCAATTGCAATCAAATTAGACAACTGACACAGGGATTACAACATAAAAATCATAAACTCTACGTTGATCATGATGTGATGACAGCAGAATTGGTCGATCATTTATTAAATTTGGGCTTTTATGCTTGTGGATTAGCTAGAAGTGATTGTAGCGATATACCGCAGGCTTTAAAACGAACATATTCGATTAATAATAATAATCACCATCATCAAGGTGGTAGCGTCGTTCAGTGGAGGATGCGACAGCAAACTTTAGTTTGTGCAATCGAGCAAAGTCAATCTGATCCATTATATTTTTTCTCATCCATGCATTTACCGCCAAACCGTTATGATATGATTAATGATCATATTTTGGGCCGGCAGCAGCTGGAAGAATATCGATTATATAATGATTATCAACGTTGGGAAAAATGCAAGTTGAAGAGCGTCTTGCATAGTTTGTATTACTTTTATAACGGTGGTCGATATTGTAAAAAGTGGCATCGGCGGGTTTTTTTCTACTTGATAGAATGTTCCTTAGTGAATGCATTTATTGTGGCTCAAAAATGCAGTTATAATAATCAACACCAGCAGGAAAAATCATTGGATACTGCAGAATTTTTGGACTTTCGATCAGAGATTGCAGAAGCATTAATTGAACAATTTTTGGGTAATGAACCGCAATTTGTTGTGACTAAAGCCTCGAATTTACAAGTTAAGACGGAAGCAGAGATACTCCATCGCCATTATACATCATCGGATTATATTCATCTATAGCAGTGTCTTGGTGAACATCATTTCTCCCCGCCTCCCCCCCCCCCCCAAAAAAAAACACCAAATGGATGACTAGGCAAACATTGATATTAACTACTGAAATGTACGTATTTCATAATGCACCTTTGCTCCTCTCAAGTTCATTCTTAGGAAGCATGTCCATTAGCACTGTACAGACTTGTTATATTGCTAATAGCATCGAGATTGAATTACATGCCTACGAGTAAGCTACCTATACTAACTGATAATGCGATATCATCCTATAGTGCATGTCTTTGTTTAATATAAGCTGTAACCTATGAAATAAATTGTTACAAGAAGGCATCATTTAAGTGCTTTATTCAGTTTAATGATTGGGGATTCCTCTCCAGTATTATATATATACGCTGTCCATACTCGATTGTAGGCCATCATTGCAACAATAGCTTTATTAACGCTATACCTTGGTGCTTTATCCTGTTTGTACAGGAAAAAACTTAAACTAATTTCACTTTAACAGCTGGTTTAAATAGTTTATCAATAGAATGCATCAGTCAGTGCGGCATCTGACCATTTTCTATTCAATGCATCTCCAGTAGGACTAAAATAAGTAATTTATATACTCAAATAGGGTGAAGAATTTTAGAGGGAGTTGCAATTCTGAGTGATACAGTAAAATGTCCCCCTCCCTTGGTCTTTGTAATCTAGCTTACTGTTCAGTAAGAACTTTATCTAATCCTACCGCTTAGCGTCGATCTGTGGCATGTAGTAACCTTACATTTGATTCAAAATGAATGTCAAATGCTTGTACCATAGTAGACTTTGTACCATTTTGAGCAGTGGCATAGTTTGAAGGTGTTTTCACCAGGGACTTGTGAGATAGATACAGTGATTACCAGTTTCTTGCATTTTGAATGAATATTTTTGCCCGTTTAAAATTGAGTACACTGGTTATTACAGTATCTGTCCATGCAGTACTGATATTAGCCCACCTGTAGTTGAGACCAGAAGCATGGCGAGGACTACCAAAATTTTTATTATCTTCTACGAAAGTACAAAATCAAAAAATGGTTTGGCGAATTTTCTCGGAAAGTAGACTATCAAAAAATGTTTCGTGGTCCCCGGCCATGGTTAAATGGCTTGTTTGTGGTTGTCGCAGATTTTGCGGACTCGTATTTCTATAGATAGTCAGAGACTTGTAGGACTAATACCACTAATACCATTAGTATTATTCTCATGGACTCATGGGCTACTAAAATTAGGGTAGTTTAGTAGTCCATGACAGTCAAAGCTTTTAAAAAAGGAATTTCTTTATTCACTGCAAGTCCTAGACGATAGTATACGACAAGGATGTGTAAGTGGGTTATCTTCCATTCAATCTAGTAGTGCTATCCAATTTTATACTGTATGGATCGAAAACACATGGATTTCGGTAAAGAGGTATTCTAAAGATTTGCAATTTTGCATACAGGTATTGTTGAAATTAATTTTGGCATGTTTGACAGTTCGCTCGCCAATATATGAAGAGTTTTTGGAACCCTCAGCTGAAACTGTCATACTGATGTATTATCTATCGTATACCGGTGAAGACTTTAAAAAAGGGAAAAGTAATGATTTGCTATTGTATCCTCTCTGCTGAAACTGTTGTACTGATGTATTATCGTATACCGGTGAAGACTTTAAAAAATGGGAAACTAATGATTTGCCATGGTATCCTCTCAGCTGAAACTGTCTTCCTGATGTATTATCGTATACCAGGGAAGATTTTAAAAAAGGGAAAACTAATGATTTGCCATGGTATCCTCTCAGCTGAAACTGTCTTCCTGATGTATTATCGTATACCAGGGAAGATTTTAAAAAAGGGAAAACTAATGATTTGCCATGGTATATTTTTATATCGTAACGATCTTCCCATTCGCCAATTTTCATGGTTGTATTTTCAATGTAACAATACTTCATAATGCTATTTGGCGTTGCAGTTAATCATAATTTGCGATTTTCGAATAAAGATACTAGATGCATAAATAGTTATAATGAAAAGCCAATGAAGATTTGGGCTTTGCATTTTCAGGGCAATGTTTTATACTATACTATTTGGTAACTTCTTAGATGCAAATATTAGAGTAACAATAACGCAGTACACTTTATTTATTCCTCAAGTTTTTCTGCTTCTGCTAGATAACCGCAATACTGTTCTTGCTTGGTGCACGCAGAATCGCTCAGCAGTAATGATCATTAAGGTTCTCATTTCATTGAATGATCTTTATTTGAAATTTCTAAGCATGAAAATTTGCGAATGGCAGATCGGAAAGATATAAAAATAGCAAATGATTGGTTTCCCTATCCCCAAAATTGGAGGATATTTTTAAACTACACCATGTACAAATAGGCAAAACACTCTGGAAAAATGATTCAGCCTTCTCTTCACTTTGACGCCAAGAACGGTCACTGCACGTCGTCTCGCACGGACTAGCCTCAACCTCTTCCGCAGCTCACACTAACACGGACCATTGTAACAGACCACTCGTGTACTGTACACGCTGTGACCGCGATACCTCAGGAGTCTACTGGAGTTCTAGTACTGTACTATATGGGAGATTGGGTATGGTATTGCGTTATGTGGACTGTTGACTACAGTACAGTACTGTACTGTACTGTACAGTGTACAGTACCGTACCGTGCTACAATCCTTTTCACTGTACAATGTACAGTGAAAAGGAGACTACAACCCTCCTGGAGGATCGATGTGAACTGCAATTCAACTAACGAGTACGTCAGTAGCGATCAAGAATTGTGCTAGGACTTGGCAAGACGAGCCGAGCAGGGAAAGAATTAAGTGGAATTTCCATCCAACCAGCTACGTCGATCCGCTATTCGTGAGCTAATTGTATCTTATTCTGCTGTGATTGCCTTCAAGAGAGAAAGACTGTAGTACGATATCTCGTACTGCAACAGTCGAAAACAAGACTATGTCAACACATGTAAATGGTCAAATAGAATCCGACGATGACGAACGCCATGCATTCCCGGCGGAAAAACGTAGGAAAGAAAGCCCAATGACTCACAAAGTGGCATTGCTTGATGCTGGAGCCCAATATGGAAAGGTATATTGCTTCCAATATTGCAGTAGTAGCATAACCATGACGTGCATACTGTCCTATCCATGCAATTCCATTCATGGAGGATGATGTTATCTGAGCAACTGAGTGCAGGTGTAGCTCCAACATGCCAGGATGATTGCAATTGGAAAATAGACCATCGACACGCACCAAAATACCTACAGTGAGATTGTACTTTCTTATCCAAAATGATCATCTATCGTATGCATGACTAGCTATACTACTGTATCTGCCCATAAATTGACTTTAGTATTGGTTATGGGTCATCATGACGCCATCGCCTCCAACTTGGCTAGATCACCCACCAATTAGAAAAATCGATCCCACAATCCACTCAGAATATCCTCTAGTCCTGTATTACTTGGACAATTTATCCAGTGTTAAGCTGTGAATGGATCAACGGTCACTACAGAGAAAGTGTCAAATGTAAACTTGATTACAGTAAACGAGCTGTTGCAATCCTCTCCACCTTTCCCATACAGCCAAACTTGTTAGCAAATCATTTTAATGACCTAAATAAGAAGGAAGGAGGTGTTAACTCATTTGGCCAACTTGCCTGTGGGTAGTTTATTACTGTATTGAGTACAAACGGTCCGGTTGGGTCCAGTTGGGACTACTACGCAGTGTTTACAGTCCAGTGTGTTGACGGTGTTGGACAATGACCAGTTTAGCCTTGCCAACACTTGCCTTTCCTCCTACTTGTCTAGACTATGTTTTCATGCAGTACCCTAAAGTTGGACACGTCAGTCCAGCGCGGTCACCCATTGCTCTCCTCCACTTGCTATTCTCTATCCTATACCAAGAGATACACCATTTGACCATAATGGTACACTACCCTCCCATACTGCAACCCAAACAAGTTCAAAAGTGCGCCAATATTCCCTCCCTAGTAATGGCCGGCCACTTAATCCATGGTAGCATCTACCCAAGGCCATTTTGGATCATTTATTTTTGCATCTTTGTCAGTGAAATTTTCTTTTTTTTTTCAATCATTGGAGAGAATCGTTCATGCTAATGCATTTCAATTGGTAATAAGAGAAGGAGAGAGAGAAATTTCATCGTTACAAGTTGAATCAAGACGGCAGGGTCGTCGTTGTGAAGATTTTTTTTCTCTCCTTGTCAATGAACGGATAGTTGTTGAGATAGAGTAATACCTCGCTCTTTCTACTGTTCAATCATTTTACATCCATTTCTATTTCTTGTCCTCTTCTTGTTTGTACTTTTTCTATCACTTACAATGTCGTCAAAGAGAGTATACCCGTTAGAATGGATTGAAATTAAATTACAGTCTAACATGTCTTTCACCCAGTTGTCATGGGTCTTCATTAGCTTGACATCAAGCTAAACAGGGGGGGAACAATGTCACATTTCCCCCAACTTAGGCGTTATTCTATTCTGCTTACCATGATGATCATCATCATGGCAAAGAGAAACTAATGAAAGCGACAAGACAAATCAATTCGTTTCATTTCCTTTTTCACTCTATCCTGACTGATCAAGCCATGCTCATTTCCCTGTCTTGCTATTCAATCCAATGACGTTAAGCAGATGTTGATTCATTTTTTTTTTCCAATGAAATGAGTAGTCGGCAATCCATTCCATAGCATTTCCACTCTAATCGATAACCATTTAGGCTATACTAATACAGTTATCGATGAGAGAGGGATCGTTTTTAACCAAGATTCGATCATCCATCAATTAACTACGATCCCATCCAGTCAAGGTGTCAAGAAAGATCAACTTGTAATTCGCTAGGATCGACACTGGAATCAATCGAAAACCATTTAGGCCATAGCAATGAGAGATGGATCCTTTTCAACCAAAAATTCTATCATCCATCCATTGACTACCATGCTATCCAGTCAAGGTGCCAGGAAAGATCAACTGGTCTTCAAACATAGCTCTAAATTACAACCAGTCAGTGTTGAAAGGATAACTGTTATACTAGAGTAAAACATAACGATTGGACTCACAAGGGACGAATCACCGCTATTCAAGCGGGCTAGAAATGTTGCAAAGGTAGTAGTCAAACTAAAGGAATGCTTACTAGCAATAGAAGATCCATACAAATGTTGACAACATCATCAACTAGCGACAAAATGCAATTTTTGGACAACATAAATTACGTGTGTGATGGGATGGAGCGATACATAGACAGTGCTATCGTACTCAGAAACTATGGATTATACTCGAGTATCCATCCTATCCAAACTGGACACCCGTTTCATTTGAACGCTTTCGTCTCTTATATTGAGTTGTTCAAAAAGAAATCACCTAAGCTTACGATATCGACAGACTAGACGATCTTCATCGTCAAGTAGTGGCTGATTGACTTGAAGAGGATCCATTTTGTTTAATAAAGTTCATCGTTGACCATCATTAAACCCTTCAGTTCTCTTCAGTACACCATTCGAAACACAAACTACAATCTTGACATGAATTGGTTGCATTTCAATAGAACGAAAACTGCTCCTACAATGTAGAATCAACATATACGTACTTTCATTTCCTACAGAGACATAATAGCGATGGATCATATTGCGATAATCCATTTCCCAGTTTATCGTATTACCTCTACATTCTACTTGCAACCATAGATTTCAAAATACGATAAATTTATAAATGTTGGATGTTAGACCATGATCAGTTCTGTAATATTGAGTGGGCAAAAATCGCCAATATTTTTATGATACAATTCAGTAGTGTGCCCCCTCGAAGATTGGAATGCATTCCGTAATAGCTCATTAATAACTTAATTAAAAAATACAAACTTTGTACTTGGTATTCTTTTAATAAATTCAGTTTCACCTTTTTATTATATCTCACAGTATGATATCGTACTTACGAGTATAGTAGAAAGTTGAAAGAGTGGACGGTTGCAACGTCTAGTATAATTGTATTCGAACTTATGTTTGTAAATTAAATAGACAACAAATCCAATTAAGAGTGTTACAATTAGTCATAGCGATGATCCTATGTTGTGGGTCTCTTAATACAGTACTGCACTATTTTTGTTGTCTTTCTATTATTTTATTATATCTTGGTGTAAAAGATATCAACATAACTCGAAATATCATACAATCCTTTTAATTTTAATTATTTGTCCACGTCAATCGGCATGAATAGTTACTGCATTATCACGTCCTACTTACACACTCAGAAATTTAGAATGATAACGTTGGTCAAGCCTTAAATTTACCAAATTATTCTTAAAAATGAAGCAGCATGGTTTGTACTTGCTTTTTCTTCTAGGTTATCGATCGAAGAATTCGTGATTTAAATGTAGAAACTGAAATGGTGCCACTAGATATAACGGCTACAAGTCTTGTTGAGAAAGGCTATAGGTAAGCAATTGTAATGAATAGTATGCAAGAATAAAATGCTTGTGTAAAATTCAGTCAGTGATCAAATCATTTTATACTATATTGGATACTTAAACGGAAAAATTTTTAGTACTAAATAATTAATATGAAAGCATTGTTACCAGGATGATGATCATCGCTGATTTACCTCATTTTCAACCCATTTGATATTCAATGAAGATAATTTGTCTTAAAATCTGCCAATTGATACTTTGTATGCGCCTAGGGCTATTATCATTTCCGGTGGACCAAATAGTGTCTATTCATCGGATGCCTTGATATACGACCCAAATATTTTTAGCATTGGGATACCGATATTAGGAATTTGTTATGGAATGCAGGTAATAGAATTTTAAAAGTTGAAAACGTAATATTGTAGTACTTGCAACAAGGTATTCAATATTAAAGATAATTATACTGCGCGTACAGACAATCTGCAAGTAGCATTTTAATTCATTGTACTAAAATTGAATTCTTCATTCAATTTATTAATGTTATAGCTATTAAATTTTCATTTTATACTAAAATCGTATTTCTTCATTCAACTTATTAACGTTGTAGCTATTAAATCTCCATTTTATACTAAAATCGTATTTCTTCATTCATCTTATGAATATGTTACAGCTAGTAAATCTCCATTTTGGAGGTACTGTAACAAAAGGAGATGTAAGGGAAGATGGACAATTTACCATCGATGTTGATCCTGATTGCCTATTATTTAGGTAATTTGAATATTATTTATATAAATATAATGTTCAATAGCGTCAAACACAAGCATTGGACCTAAATCTATTGTCGTTAGATCATGCAATTGAAGATCGCTCTTTTGCTATTATTTGCATTAGTGGATTATCCAAGCAACAGAATGTTCTTCTTACTCACGGTGACTCTGTTGATCAAGTCGCCAATACATTTAAAGTTATTGCGACGTCAGGAGATATCGTTACCGGTATAGTATTTTGCCATTATATTGTTAATAGAGCTGATTCTATAAAACCAATCATAATACTTTAAATTTTGCTTTACTATAATAACACAAAAGTGGATTGCGTACAGTAATAACTCAACAATACAGTATAGGATATCTGCTAACTAAGGTATAACAACCGTTATTATGATAGCAATTGGAAACGATGAAAAGCACTTATATGGCGTACAGTTTCACCCAGAAGTTGATCTTACCGAGAAAGGATCGGAAATATTTCGTAATTTTTTATTTAAAGTAAGTCGTACTCGTTTATTTATTGCTTTTAGTATTACTACACTTGCAGTAAGGATAATATTGTATTAAGATGTAAATACTACTGTATTACTGCGATAGAACTTCAATCGGGTTTATCTAATAGGATAGTTGGTCTATAGCTTGTAATACAACGCTTGTACTAATAAACAATTTTATTAATTAGATCGCAAAATGTCCTGGAAACTTTACGATGATTAATCGTCAACAGCAGTGTATAGATAATATAAAACAGAAAGTTAGAGATAAGAAAGCATTAGTAAGAGAAAACGGAAACATAATTGTAGTGTATCGATCTCGAACTTTCCATATACAGTTGAATTAATACTGAATCTTTTTTTTTGAAGGTACTTGTTAGTGGTGGAGTAGATTCTGCTGTTTGTGCAGCTCTCTTGCATAAGGTATGATGTAAAAGGTGAAATTGCATGCGATATAACGGGCGAATCATTATTGTTTACTTTTGGCATAGGCTTTAGGATCCGACAGAGTAATTGCTCTTCATATTGACAATGGTTTCATGCGCAAAAATGAAAGCGATGATGTTAAAATTTCACTTAGAAAGATAGGCTTAGATATAGAAATTCTCCATAGTGCCTATCATTTTTATACAAGTCACACTAGTTACCCGATAATGCTGGAGGGCATACCGACACGGCATATTACCGATCCACTAGTAAATGTTTACTCACCGGAAGAGAAAAGGCATATTATTGGTGATACATTTGTGAGGGTAAGACAAATCACCGTCATTGTTATCTTGAAGATTCAGTGACTATCACGGATATCATCATATACATTGAATATATGCCATGATTTATTGTCTATCCAGGTCGCTAATGAATATCTTAAGAATTTAGGTATTGAACCACAAGATATAGTATTAGCGCAAGGTAAAATTCGTTACTTAAAATATATTGTCGTATGTACTATTATTTGAATGCTAGAACTCTCACATTTAATTTGATGGATCATAATAATATTTATGCTTACTCATTTCATAAAGTATAAACGTTAATGTTATATCAGGTACTCTACGACCAGATTTAATTGAAAGTGCGTCTAAAGAAGCCAGTTCTGAAGCTCATGTTATTAAAACCCATCACAACGATACAGATCTAGTTAGACAATTAAGATTACAGGTAAATTAACTATTAATTATTTGATTATTAAAGGCGTTCTGATATAAATTTCGTTCTTGCTGTTACACAGAATGGTATCATAGAACCTCTTCAAGATTTTCACAAAGATGAAGTTCGGGCCCTTGGGATCGAATTAGGTCTGCCTCCTCATTTAATTAATCGACATCCATTCCCTGGACCAGGCCTTGCTATACGCGTTATTTGTGCAGATGAGCGTTACGTTACAAACGAATTTGGTGAAACGTGTTCACTATTACAATATATTGTGGATTTTGCTAGAGCTCAACAGCGTGTATGAGTAATTTTTTTGTAATATATATCTTTACCACTATACCATAGATCACTATAATGAATGAAATATTCATCATGTGATTATTTTACCTTGACAGCCACATGCCCATCTTACTCGTATTAGTGGAAGTTTAAGCCTGTCAGAACAAGAATTTTTATTGACATTCAGTGCTAAACATACAATATCGGCAACCTTGCTACCTATCAAAACTGTTGGAGTGCAGGTAGTTATAGATAGACGTTTTTTAATAATGTCAAAGATTAATGCGCAAGTCGTCAAAGAGTCACCTCTTTCTATTAATCAGGGCGATAGAAGAAGTTACAGCTATGTTGCTGGACTATCATCTGATGAACCTCCAGTATGGGAAGGATTGTTTAAACTCGCTAAATTAATACCCCGAATTTGTCATGATGTAAACAGGTTTGTTAAGAAGTGTACATGTATCGAATTCTTTTATGGATGTTTAAACGACACTTAACATGCTTGTGTTACTCTCAAATATTTACATTTGTAGGGTGGTTTATGTTAATGGACCAGCTATAGTACATCCGGTGCATGATATAACCCCTACTACTTTATCAAATATAGCATTGAGCACTTTACGTGAGGCCGATGAGATTGTTAATTCAGCTTTACGTGACTACGGTTAGTATGCATTGGTTCATATTGATGCCGACTAAGTATGTTCAGATTGGTTTCATGATATTAATTATTGATTTAATAAAATGTCACTTTTTTACTAGATTGCTTAAGTAAGATCAGTCAAGCACCTGTTGTATTAATTCCGATCCATTTCGATCGTGGCGCTGCTATGAAGCTACCGTCGACGAGGAGATCAATTGTATTTAGACCATTTGTTACCAATGATTTTATGACTGGTGTAGCAGCTATACCAGGGAAGCATATTCCGGAAGAGGTTAGAATGTTGTAATCGTACTTTTAAAAGCAGTACGTAGTGCAATACTACATTTTTATTCTTGTAATAATACTTAATCATTGATCATTTATTATCGATTAGGTTGTGTTTACGATTTTCAAAAATGTTGAAAAAATTCCTGGTATATCCCGTGTCTTGTACGACATGACTTCGAAACCACCTGGTACAACAGAGTGGGAGTAAAACATATACTGTCTACGACATTTGTATATCTCTAATGATACATTTTCTTTAAAGTGATCGCGCCGAATAATATTTAGGCTTTTGTAAAGGAAGTGATGAGCCTTAACACTTAAAAATGTATTGTATTTTAATTGTTACTATTGTTCCGAAAGAGCAAAATACAAATGATGTCACAAGTACATGAAATTCAGTAAGAACTACCATATGAAATGCAAATGTAATTTTTACTATATCTATAAAATCAGAATGACCATGGACGGTTCTACAATTTTATTGCCGCTAAAATATATATATATATATATATATATTAATAATGTTTCTTAAGTCATTTGGAACGACTTGATATAATTAAGTGTATTTCTCTGTTGTTTAGTATTCCATCTTCATAGTAAACGATATTCTTCTTCCGATATCACGATAGAAATTTGTATTTATGCTGTCAGTGTGAGGAAGTAAAAAAATTTTAGAACGAATAGACTGTTGCTATTTCAAAATAAACTGTATTGTCTATTTATGAAACGAAACGTAGTCTACTATTTATTATTATTATTAATACGCGACTTAGTTCACCAAATCTAAATTCAAACTTCACTGGATGTTCATGAAGTAGGTATAATTTAGATAAAAGTTATTGATATATCTGTACTGATTTTGATACTTGCAGTTGGTTTAATTTCATTATTATCGTTACGAGATAGGACAGAAAATCTTGATTTATTACGGCCGTTAGATTTCTTTGTCAACGCAATCGCTCAGCATCCACTTTAAATACTTGATATTCATTTGTATTTGTAGAGATACTCTTTAAAAGTCAGTCGTTTTGTTTTATCTCTAAGCATACTGTAGGTAGTTATTAATTAAATGAATTAATGAGCCTCAATGCTCAGTAATTACAGAATTAAAGGTTGGCGTAGAAAATCAGTATAATCGATCATTACCATAAATTTCTGTTTAATTTTATTTTAGCATAAAAATTGCTCTTTTGCCATCAAACTGTTGATAAGTAATGAATTGGAAACAGCTCGCATTGTTGTAACTAATGATGTAGTTTAGGAAAACACTACAAGCAAGAGACAAAATCAAGCTCTTACATATGCTGTATAGGTATGGATAATTTTATTAGTCTGAATCGTAAGCCTACATTAGATATTTTCTTGCATATAAAGGAGTATAAATAGTAAATGACTGTAGTAGATAAAGATTGAACACAATTTTAGCACATACTGCAATTCCTTTTGGGCAGCCTTAAATTTATGCGCTATGTTATAAATTACAAAGTGGTAATATACATCTTCCTCTTCCACATGCTACAATTACCATGATAGCGTACTGGAAAAAGTTTGAAAAGACAGAAGAAGATGGATACAACGGTGTTTGTAGTCCATATTATCTACTATGATACGTAGACTACAGTGAACGACGATATCACACCATCACAAAGTCCTTATAAAGTGTATATCATCGTGCTGTAGTACAGTATAAATAAATCAAATGCAGAAGACTATACAAAAAGCGCATAAATGTAATAAAGAGTCATCTCCTCTATTAGTTGACTCCATTTTGAACTCTATTATCATGCTCAGTAACATGGTTTAAACTAGAAAGCAACCATTTGTAATTTCCAAACTCAACTTTTCAACTAAAAATCAATAAAAATGTTACATAAAAGAAGTAACAGCTAGTAAAATGAGAATGTATCCATTTCAGGACCGACATCGAACTGAGCAGTACTTTCTATCCTTTTATATGTACAAGCATGCAGTTCCTTTTTACATTACTACTGTTAATAATAATTAATTCTATAACAGAGGTCATTCGTTATCTTTCAACTTGTTTTTCTACTTACAATATAAACATGTTTACAATTAATAGACTAATCCATAATCCCTTCCAGATGGATTTCAAGAATGTGTACGAAAGTCTAGCGCAAGAGGAAATATCATCCATTGGCATTTACTTGAATATCTCAGTTTTGAATACCAATGTGCTGTTTGATATCATCTAATATCTGTTGCATTTCTTCGTCATCGTATTTTCCATTTAGGCTGGACGTATTTTTGCGATAAAAGATTAATAATCACAGTTAGTATCAAAACAAAAGTTACTGCAATAAAGCATTATAATGCACAGTGATGTAGTGATTAAAATACGAGTTCATTTCGCGTATTCTATTATATTATCATTGGATAAACTTAAGCTTTTCTTAGCTAGTAGATTGAAACAACTACCACAAAGCAATTCAATCGATGTTGTTGCTACTACAGTATATCCAATAGTTTATAGATTAATTATTAAAGAAAGACATTATGACATCTACGCTTCTTAAGATCAACTTGTTAATCTAATATAAATTACACTACCTTGGCATCAAAGATTTAGCTTCATCGCTGGTTTCCGGACATAAATTAGCAAGACTGGCCAACTCAAACTTGTGAAAGTTGTGCTTGTTTAAAAGGCTATAATATAAGTAGGAGAAAATTGTCTGTCACGAGTTAGTTAATGATCATTATATCTACGACTAATTAATTATTTTATGTCATATTGCATTATGAGAGGAGAACTTGGACACCCCAATTGCTAGTTATAAAGTGGTCAAAAATCAGAATATTGCTCTACGTCGTTAAGTGAGGTTTGACACTATTATTAATGAGATATACAAAAGTATGATTGTATCATTTACTGCTCAGTTGATAGGGAATTTCTCAACATCCTATGAATAATGTTTCAAAATTAAGAAATGGCGTGTTTGGAATACTAAACGATGATGAGTAAGTAACTCTTTGATTACTCATCCATCTCCTGCATCTATCTGTATCAACAATGGCTCTAATGAGAATACTGTTCTTAATATCACGCTCTCGTCATTATTCAATCTAAGCGTACAGTATCGGCACAGTTTAACTGGTTAAATTGAGCAAACTAGAAATCGAGACCTATATAAAACGTGTGATATTTCATTTACATTAACAAGCAAATATTAACACATAACTACAGGGGCAAATCATTAATTGACATCAACTTATGGATGAAAAGTTAATCTAACGTATCATCCATCCACTACGCCATCCTTTTCTCTGCCTGTGAAGATCTCGTGTCTTATATTATGATGGAAAAGATCAGTGCCAATATACCAAGGTTTTATAGCAGTAGTGTTCACAGACTTGCAACGCTACCACTACTACCTATTTTTCTTTCTGCATACAAGAGTAGTGACAGAACTACGTAGTATGGAAAATTGACTTTAGCATGTCGATAGGAATATAATACGCGTATGAATAACGATTCCACTTTCAGTATGTGAGTTATGACAAGATTGTTGTACCGTCGTTGTTGGTCCATGGCCATGACAATGCTTGTAGCGAATTTATCTTGGAATTTTTGATTGCCCATGAATCCATTTGCTTCTAGTGTACGTCGATGACTCCAATTATTGATGGAATATTGTCTTTTACTCAAGTCCATGATTTTCTAGCCAGCGAAGATGCAATACAATCTAGTCCTATTGGCTGTAACATGGAGTCCATTTAAGAAGTCGCGAAGAATGGAGCAAGTTTATTTGTCATTTCATATAGTACCGTGTTGGCCTTGGAAAGAGTCTATCCAGGGTTTACTGACTGTACCGATCTGTTGGGGTCTGCCAGTCATGGCATTAAACTAAACTAATACGTCCTATGGGAAATGGTGAACAGGTGTAGTTGGAGGTAGACCTGACTTGGAGGCAGAGTTTTTATGTTTCTCACCACCAAAACGTGAGCTCTCGCTGTCGACTATATAAATTAGTCGCTAGTGAAGGTCAAGACCCGCCTGGACAATTTTAAGTCTTAAGCATAACCTATGCATTCATTGCGATCAGTAATGAAAGACTAGTTTAAGCTAGAAACGGTTGATTGGACGGAATCCCTTCCCTGTCATGACTACCCATGGAGGAAGTGAATAAAAAGATGCTCGTCGGCCATCTTACCTTCTGACAGCAGCTATCGTCTCCTTATTCTTAAATTTACTAAATCTCTTGGTATGGCTCAGCGTTTTTTGAAATACTTCAGACATTTCTTGATCTTCATCCAATTCATCAGCCTCATTTTGTGCTTTTCGATGCTCTAATAGCATACAAACCTCGGCATTGATCAACGTATCGGCATTCTCAAACACTGTGTCAAAGAGACGATCGTGTCAAAAAATGCATTACAATTCACAGTAAGGACAAGTGGATCCCTTCCACTTTCTTATCCATCAATCCATTCTAAATCTCTACAGTCATGACAATCTACTTACAGCTGCCAAATTCTAACTTGGTTGCGTCTTCGTCTTGCTGTTGCTGTGGTACTGTCGCCATTTCCTTCCAATTTTCAATGTGGCGGCTACCTCGGACACGTTGGATGGGGGCCAATTTGCGACTTTCTTGGACGCTTGACGCCTTCGGTCGACTCACTGTACAGTAGTTGACCTGCAGTCACCTGGTACAGTACAGTCTGAAGCGATCCATTGTTCTGTCAGTGGAGTGACTCACCTTGCAGTCAGTGTCTCAGTGACTGCTGTACGGTACAGTACAGTACTGTACAGTACAGTAAGACTAAGACTACAGTACAGTATTCGTTTTGATACTGTACTGTAGACTGTACAGTACAGTGTGCAAGCAGTACTGTAGGGAAATGAAGCTACCAAGCAGAGTATGAAGCAGAGTACATCTCACCTGCACTGAGTATGAAAGCAGGGGACTACGGTAGTACTGAGTGCACTCAGTACCCTCGGATGGATGGACATTTCAGGCTTTTACAGTATTCGCTTTCATACTGTACACTGTACAGTATGAAAGCAGTACTGTAGGGAAATGAAGCTACCAAGCAGAGTATGAAGCAGGGTACACCTCACCTGCACTGAGTATGAAAGCAGGGGACTAAGGTAGTACTGAGTGCACTCAGTACCCTCGGATGGATGGACATTTCAGGCTTGTACAGTATTCGCTTTCATACTGTACACTGTACAGTATGAAAGCAGTACTGTAGGGAAATGAAGCTACCAAGCAGAGTATGAAGTAGGGTACACCTCACCTGCACTGAGTATGAAAGCAGGGGACTACGGTAGTACTGAGTGCACTCAGTACCCTCGGATGGATGGACATTTCAGGCTTGTACGGTATTCGCTTTCATACTGTACTGTACACTGTACTGTACAGTATGGAAGCAGTACAGTACTGTGTACTGTAGGGAAATGAAGCTACCAAGCAGAGTATGAAGCAGACTACACCTCACCTGCACGGAGTATGAAAGCAGGGTACTACGGTAGCCATTAAGCCATGTACAGTACTGTACTGAGTGCACTCAGTACCCTCGGATGGATGGACATTTCAGGCTGGTTCCAACCACTTTCGTAGTATTGCACGGATGGACATTTTAGCTTGACAGCGTCAAAATACTGTTCTAAACGCTTGTGCTCGTTACTACTTCAGTATGGAGATTCTTCATTCTGTTGTGGACGGTATGCATGATCGGAGATTGGCATATGGTAGAGGACTACCCCCCCCACCCCAAGTCGGCTGATGTATCAATGACCACAGCATTCACGGTCTATCCTCAATATTGAGTTATTCTGGACCTTGGAGCTACTACAGCTGCGGATTGTGCCAATTGGATCCAAACATTAATATTCCAACTCATTTCCTTCTCTATATTTTTCCATCGATGACGTTGAAAGATAGGAAGACATGCTAGCCAAGACGTATCGACAATTAATATCCCATCGTATCCCTTGTAGAACATGGAAAATCAATGCTAGACTAGCCAGCAATACTAGTGCAAAAGCAGCTGCATCAGCTGCTGCTGCACCTGGTACTACTTTTCATTACGAAGATATCATGTCTCAAACTGGCCCTTTAGATATTCGTTATAAGAAATTGACCAATGACTATGTCTCAACTTTTCAAGTCAATGGTAAAGAATGCTTAAAAATTGATAATCAAGCCTTACGATTACTTTCTTCTACCGCAATGGTAGATATTGCTCATCTTCTCAGACCTTCCCATTTGCAGCAGTTGCGTAAAATATTAGATGATCCTGAAGCTTCTTCAAATGACACATTTGTTGCTTTGGAATTACTCAAGGTTATCCATCAAAATAGCCAATAACCTAGCATCACTACGACCATGCTAACAAAATAAAAGCAGTAGGATAAAGATGAATCTTAAGAATGTTACTTTTTCATTGATTCAGTATACTTTCCTAGCATTCTACCAATCTTTTCGTTGTAGTACTATTTCTACCTACAGTACTACTGTATGAACAAGATTGCGTACAGTAGACAAGTACATTTCTCTTCCAGTCTTGCAAATGAATCTGCTGTATCAACTTTTCATATAATACGTTTGTTAAATACTAGTATTAATACTGGATCTACTGTAGTATCATGTGAACGATAAATAACTACAGACTAACCTAATAATGAAAACATAGCATGTACCAATAAACGCGTTCTGAATGTCATGTTATCTGTAGAATGCTAATATAGCTGCCGGAATGATATTGCCTGGTTGTCAAGATACTGGAACTGCAATAGTGATTGGTAAGAAAGGCCAGTATGTCTGGACAGAAGGCAAAGATGAAGAAGCTCTATCTCAAGGCATTTATGATGCCTACACTACCAAAAATCTCCGTTACTCACAAGTATATAGTCCAATGACGAATAAGCTATCTCATTCTATATTTGAATATAGGCTGTTGTTGCTATTGTTATCACTTTTCTAATATGTACACATATACTCATCAAGCGATGCCTAACTGATTTATGCGATTAGAAGAACTAACAACCTTTCACTCTGCGATTACTTAGGTTGCCCCTTTGGATATGTTTACAGAAAAAAATACTGGCAATAACCTACCAGCACAAATTGAACTCTATGCTACAAACTCCAATCAATACGACTTTCTTTTTCTTGCAAAAGGAGGTGGCTCTGCCAATAAGACATTTCTATATCAAGAAACAAAGGCCTTGTTAAACCCTGAAAGGCTTACCCAATTCATAGGTAAAGTATACCTTGAGGGTTACTATTGGTCAATAATTCATTAAAGTAGTACCAAGAACAGTCTCAACTTTGTAACCTTTCCAAATTATTGAATTAATTAGTGAATCCCTGACACTTTTCTGTATTGTAGAATATATTTATAAGCTATGGTTTAACTGCAGGTAATGCATTGCCATGAATACTATACAGAATGACTATAAAATAGATCACCATATACTGTACATCATTAAATCATCTATTGAAAAATTATACGTAATTAATACATCATACAATATACGGTTGATCCTGGCAGTTAAACTGCTTCTTCACAAGATGTAAATTATAATACTTGTATGAATAAGGCTGTGTAATATTTGAACGTGATATAATAAATGATTGGGATTACCTGGGCTTGTGAAATATCACCATTTTTAGATAGAATACACGACAGTATAAAACGTCATGATGAATATCATATCAACCTTTTCATGAAAGCAGATTATCCTTATGCACAGACAGCTTGACTGGTGTATGAATAACTTAGTAAATAAAAGACACGGATACACTATACATATTGAATTATTGATATCGTATCTTCCAATAGATGAGAAAATCAAAACTATTGGTACCGCTGCTTGCCCTCCGTATCATTTAGCCATTGTTATCGGTGGACTATCTGCTGAAATGACCCTGAAGACAGTTAAATTAGCTTCATGTCGCTACCTGGACAACTTGCCAACAAAAGGTATCATTAATGACTCGGTAGGATGAAGTTAATAATTAGAATAGCAATTGCTACGTGTTAACAGCCCTTATGATATGTTTCATTACGTTGGTAGGAAACGAATATGGACATGCATTCCGTGATATCGAATTAGAGGAAAAAGTTCATCAACTAAGTCGCAGTACTGGAATTGGTGCACAATTTGGGGGCAAATACTTCTGCCATGATGTTCGTATCATTCGCTTACCCCGACATGGCGCCTCATGTCCTGTCGGAATTGGAGTGTCTTGCTCAGCAGATAGACAGGTTAACACCTCAAACGGTCACTTTATTATTCAATTTGATATTAATTTTAGTTCATTTCTTTTATTTCCATTTCGGTAACGAAAAGATTATTGGTAAGATTACCCAAGACGGTGTGTTCTTAGAACAAATGGAAACTAACCCTGCCCAATATTTGCCCGATGTTACAGAAGATTCACTTAGCGGGGATGTCATTAGTGTAAGTAAAATGATAAGTAGATCACACATAATTAATATATCTGCTAACGATATTCAAATTGATTGCCGGATAACAGATTGATCTAAATCAACCCATGGAAAGTATCCTACAATTACTTTCTGATTACCCTATTAAAACACGAGTATCGCTCTCTGGCACTTTAGTCGTTGCTCGTGATATTGCTCATGCTAAACTTAAGGAACGATTGGATAAAGGCGATGGATTACCACAATATATTAAAGATCATCCCGTTTACTATGCCGGTCCAGCCAAAACACCCGAGGTTGGTATTTGGTAGTATTGATAGAATCGAACTATTACACGAAGCTATATAAGAGAGTCGAACTACTCTATTCATTTCTTCTATTTAGGGTTACGCTTCTGGATCCTTTGGCCCAACTACTGCTGGTAGAATGGACTCTTACGTAGATCAATTCCAAGCCAATGGAGGTAGTATGATCATGTTAGCGAAGGGTAACAGAAGTAGGCAAGTCACCAAATCTTGTAAAAAGCATGGTGGATTCTACTTGGGCTCAATCGGTGGACCGGCTGCTATTTTGGCCAAAAATTGTATTAAAAAGGTTGAAGTACTTGAATATCCTGAGCTTGGTATGGAAGCTATTTGGAAAGTTCAAGTAGAAAATTTTCCAGCCTTTATTGTAATCGACAATAAGGGCAATGATTTTTTTAAGCAATGGCAACAATAGTAGTAATGTAACGTTTGAAGTAACCATTGATTACAAAAACGCTAAGAATTCTAAAACCAATTTTAATGAAAAATATATACGCGAAATTATGACGCAAGAAATAAAGTTTTTACAAAGACTTTGCTTAAGGAAACTATGTTGTACAGTTTTCACTCTTGTTTGATTGAGCCACATGACTTTGCAATTTATGCATATCAAATGGCACACTCATAGCATATGTTTACTCAGAAACTTTTCGTGTTATGGATATACGAGTATTCATACGCTGAAGTATGCTTCGATATGACGTCCGAAAAATTGATGTTCAATGGTAAATGCACGAGTATCGCACCCACTTCCATTAAGCAATCGGTTCTTTTACAAATCATAACCTCATAACATTAGGCACAAATATAGTAACAGTCAGAATCCAATGCAGTAGCCGAATTCATACTGCAACACAAAATGGATAATATTATAATAAAAAATGGAACAGAACTAATCTTACACAAGCGGCAATTTTACTATAAGAAGCTTGCAACGGAAAAAGCAACTGGATAAAAGACATTCTAAGTACGTCGTGATATAACTAAAGCAATAATCATAGTCTTTTGTACAGGTAAAGGTAAGCAAGTCCCTTGGGTGGTACTTCGGAAATTGCAACTTTCCTATCATTGAAAATTACCCACCTAAGTGAGCAAATATAACAGAATACTGCTTAGTTCACATCGGCAGTGATAATGCTTACAGGCTACTATCGTAACATACCTGCCGTCTTTAAGAATATGGCAAACATAGTGGCCACAAAATGTATTAGAACCCATGTGGCTGATAAATGCAACTAGTCGATATCCTAAATAAAATTAAATCAATTGTCAATGGAATTACTCACTCTGCTATTCTAAAATAGTAGCACCATCTAAAAAACTTCAAAATCATTCGAAGTTCATAATATTGGATAAGATGCAGCTTATATATAGCAAAAAATTAGGATAATATCTTTCCGGCTTTTTTAGAATTTTACATTGTTTTCAAATCTGCTGTACGGTGATGGTGATCTATCAACTAATTTGGCTATCGAACTAACGTGTTCCGCCATCTCTAACTTTCGACTTAGATTCAGTCTCATCTTGAGTATTTTCGTCGGTATCCATACTATCGAGGTCGTCAACATGACTAAATATCCAATCAACTGCTCTTTCAACGCTGTTATCCTATTTATTAAAAATACTACTTGTTACTATAGTTATGGCTATTATGATATACACTTTACAGGGTATTTCGAAATAGAAAATGAAAAGAATTGACAACCGTGGCTTTAAGGGCTTTATTAGCTTGTTCCTGAGTAAAACCCATCGATATAATTGTTGCAATGCCATTTTCATCAGCTACAAAGGTTGTCTTTTTTGAAGTATTAGATTTTAGGACCAAGGGATCAGCAAAGTCTAAATTGTGGAAAAATTTTTAGAAGCTATATCGTTCCGTTATCATAGATACTAAAGACACAAACCGGGGTCACCCATGTGATCCATAACCCAAGACATAGCTGCTTCGACACCTAAGTACAGAACATGAAAGAAGATAAATTCAAAGATATCGATTAATAATATTATTTACGATAGCTCATTTACCACTGTTATTTGTATAGTAAACAGCTTTTCGGCATCCCTCAAAAGCGAAGCCCATTTCACTTAATTGTCTGACAACACCAACATCAATTGCTGGCTCCTCTTGAGCTGCATAAAATGATACGCATTGTGATGTTAGCAAGCGAAATCCATAGAGACATTTACCAAATACTGTCATGATTAAATTTACCCGCTTGTTCCTGAATAGGTTCTGGGAGAAGCTCTTCCGTAGCTTTCAATCCTGTCCCTCTATATTCGGCTAAGTCTAGTTCGTCGGCGACATCAATGATTACATCTGCAAATAAAATTAATTTCTCTAATGAAATGCCCACTATTTAAGAACTCGCATAAGTATCGGAACATCAGCTAATGGTTTTATGACAAATTTACCAAGTTTTTTAGGCACCCAATCTTCCCCAACAGTGAATTTCTTCATTTGAATAAACAAATAATCTGGGAATGATTTTATCTTCGCAGTCCTAAATTGCAACATCATTTACAATAATTATAATGAATCAATAGATCTTCCACTGTATTTGCAATTGAATCAGTTAATGCAGTATTGAGTAGTAGAAATACTGTACTTCACTTCTAAAATCGTAAAATATATAATTACTTTGAAGCAGTTGATTTCTCTCCTAAGGCTGTGCTAAAAAAATCTGATATTAATTCAGGCTCAGCAAATGCATTGAAGCAAGATATAAGTGGAACTATTGGGCGAACAGCATCTTTGTCTTGCCTAAGAGATAAGTAAACGTTAACTATCCGTAAATAAATGAATCCATGTTTGTAATAAAGGATTAAACTACATTTTTTCTCCTCGAGCTTCAGCCTCCTTTCGTTTCGCCTGATAATCCAAGAATTCCTCTGTTTGAATTAAACGATAATTTACACAAAGAAATAAAGATTATTTTAGGTACTTATACTATATTATAAAAATAACCACACATTAGCTAGTAGTCGCTATTTACTAACTGAAAGATCCAATAGAAGATACTTACGCATATTAGTTGCACTATCTTGAGGAATTGGCAAGCTTAAAACGTATTCAGTTCGCGATGTATACTTTACTTTATTACTTTTAGTGCACTGTATTCTCTCTTCAATCTAATAAAAGGACATACGAAAATTAATAACTTAGATACAAATAATCGAAAGGACTTAATTTTGTTTAACCTCAAATCTTAAGCTGTCGTTCGGATTTCTGCTGCTTTTCAATTTATGCTAAATAAAATTTGTCTCTTTAAGAATCATATCCGAAAAAATATAAATTACAAGAAAAGAACATAGTAAATACCTCATCCTTGTCAATGGTATTTATTAAGTGCAGCAGATATTCGGATGCATCCTGGATACCATAATAATAAATTAAACATATTCTAGAATCCATCTTTGTTAACGCAAGTAATGCGAAAAGGATTTAGCTATAAAATGCAATCAAACGCCTGGTAATGCGATCAACCTGTTGCATTGCCGTAGAAAATTCACTATGCCCAGCACCAATTAAATTTTTAAAAATTATAGGAGTAACCCCATATTGTTCTTCACTACCATCAGTATCGGATGGAATAGAGTAACAGCCTGATAATAATCCATGACCAAATTTCGCCCTAAAATTTAGTAAAGAATCAATCCTGTTACGTTTTCATATATCGAAACCTTCATATAAAATACTGCATTATAATAAAAATGAGGTATATACATTTGTGCTTCCAAATTAGTCGGAATATTATGAGGATCGATCTTTTCAAATATATCATTAATTCTTTCATAATACCTGCAAAAAGGCGTTTAATCCACCGTACAGATTATAGCAAAGAATTTGTAAGTTTTGAAGAAATTACAGCAACAGCATTGTACTTCAAAGATACGTTAATTTACCTCGCTTGAAAATCCGGTATGGAAAATACTACTTGCATTACACTATTAAGGTAACAACTAAAACAGTAGGATTACGTATATTTCAGTAAGAAGCATATAATATCCCAAATAATTTTAAAAATTGTTTAGTGTACGTAGGAGAATTAACGTCTAGGTACCTATTGCCGAGATTTTTAATCCCTGTATAACCAGGACCAGAAAGAGGCTGCAGTTGACGTCCAGATTCCTTTAAGCAAAGGTATAGGTAACAAGTTATAAATCAAGGAACTTTGCAATTATAATCCATCTTTGGGTGGCATTTGACTTAGTTAATGATGTAATGTGATGATTATATTTTGATACCTGAATCACGTCCCACTCTTGTAATTTCATGTTGGCATCAATTTCTAATTCTGCCATTGTCTTCTCAGTCTAGAAAAAAATTAAACTTTGTAATCATGGCTACCATGACAGTTGGCAATTTGATAATGTTACGGAAAATTGTAAACAGGTAATACAAGTAGTACCAAGAGTTACTTAAGCTGTGCTCCTCTCATTCAAATCCTTTGAAAAAGACAACGCCGTGTGATAATACGTATTTAAAATAATTACCTTCTGCATTGATGTTATGTTGATTCCAAAATGTTCTAAATGTTTCGTTAAATAAGGGTCTAACACCATATCGTCTTCGGCGTATGAATAAACATCTACGAAATGTTATAGACTAAATGTTATACTACTATCAATCGCCAATACATGTGTTCTTATTATAAGAAAAGATTTAGAAGAATATTAAAATAACCGGCTCCATCCACAGTAATAGTTCCGAGTTTAACGCATAAAGGATACTTTGTTTTCTCATAATGTTCCACAGCATGTCCATTACCGCCACTCCCATCGAAATATTTACGTCCACATAATATACTTCCATCCGTTAAATTTAACCATAAATTCTTCTCAAGGCCGCATACATCGCATTTCCAACCGCTGATGTAAGAAGTATTGAAAGTATTACATGACTTTGCTTAAGTAATCTACCTATCAAGTGATTACAACTGCTCTAAAATACCTAGGAGGTATTCTTCTCGGATCACTATGTTGGACCAAATTTTCAGCATATCTGGCAAAGTTTTTTCATATAAACTTGTTATCATGTGAACATAAAATCTCATGCAATCTAATAGTTAGATAACCTACATGCTAGTTTTTCTTTCTTCACCATCCCATGACTGAATCTGATTAGTAAGAGATGCTGATTCGACACTTAAAATACCAATGATACAGAACTGAATCTAAAATATAAAAAAATCGCACAATATTATAACTCTTACTATTCTAAATTATTATAATTGATATAAAAATAAGGAAGTACTGACTTTTTCAGGCAAATTGTTATTAGGCAAGGAAATAACGGTAAATTCCGGAAGTAGAACGATACTATTTATTTCTTCGTAATCCACCTGCTGCGTGTAAGGATAAAGATAAGAAACTGTTTGAAGACGTTCGCTATACAGATTGCTCGTTAATCTTACTTACACTTTTACCCACAAGTCCAATATTAATTTACATGGAATAAGTATAGCATATGCCTTCCTTACCTTTACATTTATATCAAAACCACCTTCGACACCTATTTTTAATCGAAATTGAATAACAAAAATTACAATAGTATTTAGAGCAAGAAAAGCTTCATTGATGGTGTTATCTATGCCTTGTATGTATACCGATAGCAAGTCTTATTGGTTTCTTTTTAGGAGGACTTTCAATTTCATCACCAGATTCAGCATCATTTAAAGGCTGTCGAATGGAAATGAATTATAAAATCAGCTTACAATTCAAAGACTTTAAATTGTCGAATGTGATGCAGTATGTCATTGCGTAAACCATTACCTTGGCCACTTTCTTTAAATGTAGAAATATGTTATGGCCAGTTTTCTTAAAATATCTTTCAACGTAGTTTCTTCCAAATGATAAAAAATTGGACATGCATACGTACAAACCACCATCGCTAACCTTTTAATTGATTATAAATAGATGAATACCGTTAGACGAGTATATCAAGGAAATCTTTTATTAATATTTTAACATTATGTCGAGCAGCCCATTTATTGATGGCGGTAGGGCTGTAATGTAACTCGATAACAAGCAATAATAACAATTAGCGTCAATTTAACATTAGTTGTTTACTAGCATCACGCATGTATGGAAGCTGGATAAGAAAATGTGTATCCTACGATCTGCGAAAACTCTTTCAATTTACGACTAGGCCATAAGGGCAATCGTGATGACATGGCTGTCATCTTAAGGTTTACATGCTAACAAATTTACAGTCAGTACTGTATTTAACTCAGCGACTCGTTCTGTTTAGTCTGAGAATGGATGATGGCGCCATGTACAGTACAGTAATTCATCATCAAATGGAGCTCTTTCGTCAACTATCCACAGTATATGTAATAAGTAAATCTACTGTAAATATATATTCATAGACTAGTGAAGGTTGCTGAGCGTAACAACTGGACAATTCATCATCAAATGGAGCTCTTTCGTCAACTATCTACAGTATAAGTAATAAGTAAATCTACTGTAAATATATATTCATAGACTAGTGAAGGTTGCTGAGCGTAACAACTGGACAAGCCCGTCTATTAGGAATTACAACTTTACGGCAAAGTATTTATGGATCCAGCGAACGATCATTATCATTCAACAATGTAGCCATTGAGTAAAAATAAACTGTACGACTAATTGTAAATTGTATTGTATGAATTATATCAACAAATGATCAAGGCATTTCTGCTCCATAGTAACAGTCGCGACATCAACTTTTGGTGTTATCCATGCAGTCTTCCTTGATTATTTATTAAGATAGGAATATGAGTAACTGAAATAGCGACTATTTACGTCCGTTAGAGTATTGGAAATGAGTTTTTAGCATGATTACAGTTGAAAATTGAAATGCTCGTATGAACGCCTCTTCAGTATAAAGTATACCGATTGCTATAGCTACGTCCACCTTGATTGGAGCTGCATGCCAAGTGAATATCGGTTCAATTCAATTTTTGCCCTGAAAAGATGTCATTGAAATGCTCCCTCTCACTGTAGTAACAAGATTGACGTTGGAGAGTCTACCTTGTTACCATGACCTAATCATGTCGGTTACATTTATCCATCCTTGAAGAGCACGTAAATTTGATTACTCATAATCGACAGGCAAATACACGTCCACGACAACACAGTTCCTACATAGGTATTTTTGCACCGAATATCTTCTTCTTAGAGTCTCATAGTTGATGAATGATTGTATTGATATGAAATTGATCGAGCAAGATATCGTTCATGATGTATCTCAGTCCTGGTTCTATTCTAATCTAGCCTAATCCATGATTTACAAATATAGGCCTTCCAATGATAGTACTACTGACGGAATAATCTATCCAAAAAGATGCAAAATGTTTGCTTTGTCATGGTGGTGAACAATACGAGAGTATCTTAAGGAGCTGATGCTAGCCAGGCTGTTTGATTGCTTGTATCACCATGAATTTTTTTCCTCTTAAAGAAACTTACCGGAGTATCAAACGAATAACAACATTCAGCCTTATAGACTTTATCCATGGCAGTTGGTATACGTATACGATCAAGATAAGCATCCAGTGAGACCGCCATTTTTTTCCTCGATTTCTTGTTGCAGTCTCAATGAAAATCGTCGACTGTCCAGTCAAAGTCAATGAACCAATGGATTACACGTCCGTCAACAGAGGCTGCGTGTTGAAGGTGTCGACCTGTCTTGGGTCCTCCTGCTCTAGGGGTTGGCAGACCTGGTCTAGTTCGCATGCCTTTGACCAGTGTACTCCACTGTGACCGATACGGTACGGTATGGTATAGGCCGGCTGTTGAATGCAACGGCTGATGGCTGTCCGTCGCGTCTGATGCTCATTCTTGTACAATGTACAATGTACAATTGTGGAACAAGACCGGTAATGGGGTCTGGCATGACTAGACTCAAGAATGCAAAGCCTACAAAATGTTGTTACCCTGGACTACTCCACTTCAATTTGAACTCAAACTATCTCTTAAAGTTCTACCACCTTTTAAGCTGACAAAAAATCCAAACTGAAATTTCCCCAAAGTATAAGTAGTCGACCCCGCGCGGGTTCGTTCTACTTTACTTGGCGTGCTATACTTGATTACTTTCCACTTTACACGCATTTAGACTGTATACTATCTCACTTACAGTAGCATACGGTAATATTATTTGCATATGCAGAATTATAGTCGACCACTAGGAAAAAGACCGGTAGTTGGTCCATAGCGAGAGAAGGCAAAGCAAACAAAATGTTGTTACCCTTGCTTGACAGGTCTACGACAAATGGTAATACTATCTGTTAAATGAGCACATTATCGTAAACCGTCAGCAAAGCGACGGGAGTTTGCACTAGTTTCCCCAAAGTATAACTAGTCGACCCCGCGCAGGTTCGTTATAATTGGCGTGCTATACTTGATTACTTTCCACTTTACACGCATTTAGACTGTACACTGTCGCACTTATGGTAGCATAATATTATTTGCATATGACTTGAATATGCAGAATTATAGTCGACCACCAGGAAAAAGACCGGTAGTTGGTCCATAGCGAGAGAAGGCAAAGCAAACAAAATGTTGTTACCCTTGCTTGACAGGTCTACGACAAATGGTAATACTATCTGTTAAATGAGCACATTATCGTAAACCGTCAGCAAAGCGACGGGAGTTTGCACTAGTTTCCCCAAAGTATAACTAGTCGACCCCGCGCAGGTTCGTTATAATTGGCGTGCTATACTTGATTACTTTCCACTTTACATGCATTTAGACTGTACACTGTCGCACTTATGGTAGCATAATATTATTTGCATATGACTTGAATATGCAGAATTATAGTCGACCACTAGGAAAAAGACCGGTAGTTGGTCCATAGCGAGAGAAGGCAATGCCTACAAATTTTGTTACCCTGGACTACTCCACTTCAATTTGAACTCAATCTATCTCTTAAAGTTCTAACACCTTTTAAGCTAACAAAAACCCAAACTGAAATTTCCCCAAAGTATAACTAGTCGATCCCGCGCGGGTTCGTTATAATTGGCGTGCTAAACTTGATTACTTTCCACTTTACATGCATTTAGACTGTACACTGTCGTACTTATAGTAGCATAATATTATTTGCGTATGACTTGAATATGTAGAATTATAATCGGCCACTACTGAGCATATTATTTACACATGACTTTATTATTGAAAACTATAATAGACTGATAGAAGAAGAACGGTAGTGGTCCATGCCTTGAGATTGCAACGCTTAATAACTTTGTTACCGAGACTACTTAACTAATTTTGACTCCAATTGTACGCGTCGATCTCTTTAAGTCCCGGCACCTCGTAACTGACAAACAACTCAAACCAAAATTTCCCCTAAATTCCGGCGCCTCTTCCTTCAAAAAATGAATCGTAATTTCTCTCTCCGTGAACAGTAACACAGTCACCAATCATAAGCAAAACGGTTTAATGTCATACTATTGTAATTAAACGCTAGCGAGCGCTATATTCTAGACTTGTATATGAATTAATTATTATATTACATTATTAATTGTATACCCCACTCGCCGCACTTTACGTAAGCATAGTCTTTATTCAATGAGTACTTTACGCGTATGGGTATATTGCTAAAATCATTCCATTGGATAGCATTAAAGCAGTCGATAAGTTTAATTTTTCACAATCAGCATATGTAACTTGATCTCATTGCGCTAAAGCATGGCTAAAATTGTTCACCCTTATGATTCCTGCACTAGTTTATTCGGTAATGCCCTCTCTGTCTGAATAACTACGAACACATTGAACCTGCTAATGGCGTTTCTTCGGGTTCCTTCCGTCGTTCTCAACCTATCTTAATAATGGTACTACTTGTAACGAGATCAAGAATCTGAGACTTTGAGCTTTCCTTTCCTTTAGTCTACTTTATTTGGAAGCCCATGCCAAGCGCGATATCATACATACGTTAACGAGACATCAGAACTGTGACAACAAATCAGCTCTAGTACCAACATAACTTTAATACCATATCCTAATGCACGTGAACATTTGTAGCATGTGATCTTAATCTAGTGCAGTAAATAAGGTGTAGACAAGCCGTAAATAGTATTGCACGATATTTAGGATTCCCTACGTTCTATGGCGCGTACACTACAAGCTAGCAAGCAGTAGTTTACAGGACAGGCGATGTTACCACACTACTATTTTATCGTAACGTAGCATTGGTCAACTGTTACTAACTAAGGTAAAGCAGTTCCTTAAACTTACGACTGAAACTGCTTCTCCAATACTCTGATAGCATATTCCCTCTGTCTTCTTAACTAATCCCTGATTAGATAATTATTATCTACGAGCTTATTTATCCAGCTAATGAAGTTGCCCCTCTCGCTTCTCAACTCATACCGTAGAAGTATTGAACTGTTCCAAAAGTAATGACGACTGATACTACATCTCTAATTGCATATTTTCTCTCTCTCTCTCTCTCTTCTTGACTAGTCCTTGATATTTAGAACATCAATGTCAACGTAGAGTACCGTAATACTAATGACAGTAACGGTGTTTCAAAAGTCTCGCAAAATAAAAGTTTTATTTTTCTCAGTAAATATATTTTGCGGTTTATGATAAATTTCATCTTTACCCTGGTAAAATGGAAATAAATATCTAACATAAATAACGATTAGGCGGTAAAAAGTTAGGGATTCTTACGGTAGTATTCGAAAGTGTTGTTATATCTGGGTCCACGCGTACGTAGAGCGGGCCACTTATACTAATTACTAACGTTGATTGGTATTAATCAAAAGGGAATAAGGCTGCAACTGAATTCGCTGCATGCTCGCTTATTGTCGAGTTTCCACTAGAATGCTATTATACATCACCACAATCCCTTGCCATAAGGGTAAGAGAAAATTATTTCCTCTTAATATAGTATCTGGTCTTACACAGAAATAAACACGAGTATTTTACAAGTGACATGGCCTACTACTGTATATGAGTACAGTGCATAAATGCATGTATGTGTATATGGTGCTAGAAATGTCAATGCTTAACGGTAAGTACTGAATTGTCGCTACTACAATACTAGAGTGGAAAATATAGGGCTATGGTATGAAAGCAACAAGTGCGGATATAAGCGTACATGTCCAGCAAAGCTTCTCTGGTATCGTACTTATAAATAAAGATGGCTTACAAAGTTGAGTAAGGTATGAAATAATCCACTAAACTAATCATAGTAGAGATAAATACTGCTGAAAAACATAAAACTAATCCTAAAGTAGCTAGTAGAAAGTACATATCCAACTGTAATAAAGTGTTGCAAACTTTTTTATCTGATTTAATCTGATCTCAATGATTAAATTCTCACAAAGTAATCGATTCAGTCAAGATGAAATTAAAAAAGAAAAGCTTGTATGACAATGTATTAGAATAGTAGAGCGATAATAAGCTACTAGCAAGATCCTAAAGTGAAGTATCCTAAGCTCAAAGTAAAGCTCTTATCGGCAGTTCTTAAATATATTTACTTCAATCTATTTACACCTATCGTACGAACACTCGTTCATAGGCTAAAGATACCATTGCTTTCTGTTAATGTTCAACACTTTATAAACTGTTGGCCATCTCATAATTACGGTACATCGATTCGCATAGACCTTGTACCATACGTCTTTAGTCAAGTGACTATACTTAGTAGTCAATATCTAATATTGGTAATCAGCAATATTCTAATATTAGAAATCCAACTACGAGTATATCCAATATAGCTATCAGCTGAATTAAATAGAGAGTGCATTACTACACCAGAACAACTAAAGACGCTGCTATTGACATCTTTAAAATTGAATAATAAAGTAACTCGTACGCGTATAAATCGATCTCTTGAAAAAATGATCACCCATTGAGCCATTCCATTCCATATATCCATATATACAATTGTATTTTACTTTATTAGACAAATAACCAGGTTATTGTCTGTAAATAATAATATGAATGCTTTCAGGCAAGGCGTTAATACTTCTAGATCAATCGAATACTGCATATAGTGATGTTATGAAGAAAAGAAAAAGCACGAGAGTAAAACATCGAAAAATGTCACGCATTCGCTAGCTGCATATCTATGCATTACCTAGGACAGGCTAGAATAGAGAAAGATTATTATTAGAATAGAAATCGATATCGCTTCATCAGAGACTGCCTAGGATTAGTAGCCCATGCCTGGACTAACTACTCAAACATTCATATTTATTCGACAGAATTCGGTTTACCTTCTTGCCAAGCAATGTTATTTATAATCTATTCAGCTTGCCACTTGTTGCAATACTTCTGTACCTACCGTATGGTAGCTTATGATCCAGTTTTGCAATACTACAATTAACCAACAAGGCATTCAAGGGTTACAAAATATATCACAACACCAATCTATTAGTAAGGTAGTTGTAGAAATGTACCACTGAATTATGTAAAATCGCAATTTTTACTTAACACGATAAATAATTCTTATGCCGCTAGTGCAACTCCATGGGACTCTTTTATCATGTTAACGACGAGAACTGCTACTGACTGTGATAATGGAAATTTCAACACGTGCCCTAACTTAACTAATCTACCATTCATAATTAAATTTTTACGCTCATAGTTCAAAGAAAATATTACTACAAGTAGCCAGAAGACAAGCTACCGCATCTACCCGTTGACTAACATGCGAATACATGTTGAGTGTATGGCAGATCCATTCAACTCGAAATTAATGTTGGTGATCGAAACTCAGTTGACGACAAATTCTAGCTATAATGATTATTTTTCTTTATTGCGAATACAAATGGATGGATAAATCAACGGTTATAACAGCATTGAAGATATCAGAAATATCCTACACATTAAAACGAATAGTAAGTAGAATGTCTATATAAGATGACTGTAGTATAACATAACACAATATAAGAATAACATAATGGTGAGAGCTACCGTGATCATAAACGCAAAAGATATAGTATATCAACCGGTCTAACAAAATACAACAGGCATTTTGATCGGATATAAGTACAAGTTAGGATAATACAATATTTTGTAGTTATGCCAATGCCCTCCATGCTGTGTCGGGTCAACAGATGCTATGATGTGGACATGAATTGAGATATTGTAGAAGTATTTCTAGCTTCTACTGTGTAAGAATCTATCAAAGAAGCTGTGGTTTTGAAAGGAGAAATAAAACGTGCTACCAACAATTCTTCAATTCTAAAGTCGCATTCATCACTTCAAATTACATTAATAAATAGTTTCAATCTTTATTATAAAAATCCCATAACAATCAAGCAATATTGGCGGAATGATTTATGTTTAGCGATAATGCCGATGGAGTAGATCGACTATGTAATATTGAACGTTATATTAGTAATTGTTACAAGTTGAATAAGAAATTAAAATTACATATTGGTTTAGGTGAACTATGTAACCTTATTCAAAAATAAAGAGATAAAATATTTTAAGGAACTATATTTCGCTATGCTACGTCAGTCAATGACAATAGATGGTTATAAGTAAATGGGCTGATGGTTTTAAAGAGGAATAATTGAAGTTCCACTAAATTTGAAATCATGAATTAACTCATTTTCCTTATAAACTAACAGTAGTAGTATCCTGATGCTTTATAGAATCCACATTATTTTTTTGTCCTATTTCAGTTTCGTGGTCGGATACTAATTTGCCATTGGTATAGCTAGTTTCTGTAGGTAGCGGACCGTTGCATAATAAATGCTTCCAACATTGACGAGCCACACGATTAAAGAGGACGTAGAAGAAAAAGATAAATACACCTTGCAATGAAGATAATGTTGTAAAAATAACTGAGAAGACCATTTGTGTAGTTCCCGTAGTATGAATGGCCACAATTGAAAATAGCCATGGCAAACCCAATGTAAATATTAAACCGGCGGATGGAATAACAATGCGATATAAATGGAATTGACGATCTTGATTGCTCATATTGATCAACTTAAATGTAATGATTACAAAAAAGATGCAATTAACACCCAAAAGACCCACCATAGGATAGACAAAAGTCGCATCGGCCCAAACGCGCTTCATCCAACAACTATGGAAAATAAAAAAATAGGAAATAATATTAATTCTACATGTAGATAACCAATTTATTTGAACTAAGGTAATGTAATCGAGATAATATGGAACTAAATAAGCATTAATCATTAAAAAGTCGTATCAATCGATAGAACTAATTTTTTCCTCGCCATTGCTAGAATAAAGAATAGCAAATCTGTTGTAAAACTTACTATCCGGACGCATTGGATCCATAAATTGATCCTGACGTGTTATTAATTAAGCAAATAATAACCACAAGAGCCGGAATACCTGGAATGTGATACAATATTCATACTTAATATTAATTTTATTATATCACCATAGTTCAAGATAGCTATTCCATTATCGTCGATATGAGTGGGAGTCGATTATGGAATATCATAAAGTTTACTATTCGCCTTAGTTAAAAGCTAATGCCTAGTCAAATTTTAATATCCATAGAACTAACCATAGCCACATGATGTACATATAATATTAGTGACGTAGGAATTCCACCATTTCTTGAACAAGATCAATTCGAAGCATAAGTACAGACCCACTAATAACATCAAGATGACAGCAGACATCAGAAAGAAGTGTAAAAATACGGCTACTGCGGTACAAGTTTTGGGATAAATGATTGCAGCTACTACAAAGAAATTGCCGAAATAGTAGATTGCCAAACTTGAACATAAATAGATTAAGATCTGATAGCACTGATTTCTTCTCATTGGCCTAAAATACAAAAGTGGAATTGTAAGATAATATCATGCGAGGCAAAAAATAGCAGATTTTAGAACACTCAACATCACTCTATTCGATGATTACAGAAGGTAGTTATAATTATACGTGAAGATTGACGGGAAAATAGACTATTGATAGTATATCTAACTTACCTATTGCTAGAACATGCGTACTACTTTAGAAAAAGAATTTAAAATAATAAATCTAATTCATTCATAAAGAAAATATCCATCCTTTCACTTTGCAACTAAGAACTACTTCAAGTTGAAATTACTAAAGGTAAAATTCATGCGCTAATATTCTTTCTTAACTGATACAAAGAAACTATAACGGCTGAATTGTTATTATAAATAAGAATTGAAATTAGGTAGGAATGCTATATAATACAGACTATCTTACTTGAAGAATGCTATGGTAAATATGGTTATTATTAGGCAACCCAAAGAGAAACCACCGCCAATACTGGATACATAGCGCATTGCTACTCTTACTTGTTCAGCAGAAGCTCCACTGTCTGGACTGTTAGTATAAATGCTTGTGCTATTACTATTGTTAAGATTAGGTTCTCGAGTAACAGGAGGCACAGTTTGTGGTGCAATAATAACTTCCTAGCGAATTACAAAGTTATCAACAGCTTATTAAAATATCGTCGGCATAGCTATCAATTGCAAGCTCAACAGATACTTCTATCCATCGTATGCTATTAATTCAACACTTTTATAATACAGTAATTAAGAATAATATCTATCATGACTTGCATCGTATAAATTTCAATTTCAAATAATTACATACCAATTCCAATTTTAATTGACATTTAGCCACATAAAGCATGAGAGGACCCATAAAACCTTTACTCATTGATGCATTCCAGTATTCAGCTATGGCAATTCGCTTAAATCCATTGACATAAGCTGAAAAGCTGAGAATAGATGAAACTTGAGTAACGGACCTATTGAAGCGTGAAACCAGTTACAATGTAAAGAAAAAATAACATGATTAGCAAAATAATTTAAATCTGATATGATAAAAATATTAAAATACTCTAAGGCCTTCATATCGCATCAATATATACTATTCACTGTAGTCAGTATTATTAAACTGCCATTGAGTACACTGCTAAAGGCACCTATTTCATCTAATATACACGTAATCACACATTGATCTTATACGAGATTATAAGCATGACTATATGTGTAATAAAAAATAGAATGATATCAAAAGAATGGATATAGTCGCGAATATATAGTTCTGCATCTAAGACAGATATTAAGGAGATGAACTATTCTAATGTAAATGAATGGCTGCAAGAGCTGCATTTAATGTAGTGTATTAAGAACGATCTAATTCAACAATTTATATTGATTATACGGTAAATTACATTCAAAAATTGGATTTCGTGATATTTACGTGCAATTTTGGGTCGTTCCATTTTCAAATTCATTGGGAATATTAATGCAATAGCTTGTAGGTCTAGAAATGGAAAAATACAATTTACCAAAATTATCTCAAATCATCCGTTAGCTTTATCCAGTATATCATAATTCTTATGGATCCGGTATAAATACAGCACAGAAATTAAAAGTAATGCAGAAAATGTTAAATATAAATTCGTGTTTTTGATATTTATCACTATACCGTGCTCTGCCAATTCGAGAAACCGTATAATTTCCTGTCAATCCTAAATATAGGGTTTCGACCTATTTTATGGTTTAAAAAATAGACATAGGTGCATTAATCATCGATACTACTCTTTCTTTGCGATATTAACCTTCAATTTTAGACTATCAGTAATTTATTAGTATTCGGTAATCTCCATAGATAAAAGTATCGAAAACATTACAAAACTTAGTTTAAATCATTCATTACGCCAAGTTTCATATCATTAAAATGTAAATTCGAAAATTGTTAATATAAATCCATATTACGCTATATTTTAATCATAAGCTGACGCTCTATAGCCACTGCAATTTAATATTACGCACAGTATAAATAATTATCAAGAATCATAATTTCTTGTCCACTTCATTTTAATTATTTATAAATTTTGGTAAATCACAGTAGCTGCACACAGTACTATGTGATTAGTGGAGTAAAACTCTTGACTATCAGTAGAAGTTGGTATCTTGCCGAGTAATGATAGCTAAAGAAAACCTTCAAACAATTTGATCTTCGTTATATGTAAAAATGGCTCGATTGGACTACTGCGATTTAAAATAGGATACTTACAGAATATTTTATTTCGTTGGCTAATGCCTTATAGGTCGGGCCACTTCTGTCAGTATAAGAAGACAGAAAGGGACGATTTTTCATCGCCAGAGTGAAAATGGAATTGCCCTTTTTGATTTCTTCAGTTTCTGCCCAAGCGCTAGCAACAACTAAAATCATAGCAATTATAAAACAATCCAAACAGATAAGTAAATTACATCATCCAAGATCACATAGAAGTTATTATTATACAGTAATATTTATTAATGAGATATGCAATATTACATTGCCTTATAAGCTAGACAATTTATCATAAAACTTAGCATTGATTTACCCGGCATTAAACAAGATTACGTATATTAATTTTCTAATTTAACATTTATCTCTTTCATTTCTTTAAAATTAAAGAATTTAGCTTTAACATACTGCAGAAAAAGACCAAAATTCCTTTTGCTAGTATAGCTTTCATATTTGAAATTTCGCTTTTCAAGTTATTCTAAAGAAATAAGCCACAAAGAAACGTTACATTGGATAGAAAATCATGTGCCAATTATTTCATAACTCTATAATAGCATAAACATTAAGATTAAACCCTAGGCTTAAACCATCATAAGAAAATCAAGAAATAATTTTCGAAGTAAACGAAAACTATATTTAAGTTTATGGTATGTGGAGTTTTGCACCTAAGATAATTAATTATATAATGTAGTTGAATACCGTCCTAAATGTCAATTCATTCTAGGGTTGTATCAAAATTTCAATGGTATAGGTAAGTATAAGCAACGAAAAGTTAATTAATTAATATTGTTTATCATGCTTTTGTCGCAATTAAAATAAGGTAGATAGTCTAGCAGACATTAGCATTCATCTTATTTTAGCATCTATTATTAAGCTAACCCTGGTCAAATAATTTCACTTGCAATGCGGACTACAATAAATTTAAATTTATTACAAAATGAGTAATGGGACGCTAAAGACCTTATACCGCTCTAGCAAAATAAGTTATTAAAATTGATTGATATAAAGTCACGCAAGTGATTATTTCTAACGCTAGATTAGCGAATTAACTCTAGAAATAACTAATGTTGTTAGAGATTCATCATTCGCTACCTTGATAATATCATTTTATTTTCAATTACTAAGTTCTTTAATTATCATCTAGTATCATCTGATAAGATATATCTAAGATGAATAAAAAAATTGGTCTGATTCCATCTCGCTCTATTTTAACAATCGACTCAGTACGAATGTCGTATTATAATGTCAACAGTTTAGCAAAAAATCGATAAATAATAAAGATGGCACTTGAACAAATAAAAGAGTCTATAAAAACGATGGTATGACCAAAAATGCGCAAATAAATACGAAAATACCAAACCCGCCTCGAAAACTGGTCGTATTACGATACAAAATATATCAATATATATTAAATTGAACCTATGGCCTGAAGAAATAGGAGCGTTACTATAGGGCATGAATGCTCTAGGCCAGAGGCTTCGAAGAGGAATTTTATCTTATAATTGTCTGATTAGGCAATCATGAATAGACTTCATGTTTAACAATGAGGGAAGGGAATTAAAAAAAGTAAAAAAATACATGGTCAATTGCATTGTGCTGTTGCCAGACTTACAACAGATGTTGAATTAGTTGAGGAGGATGAAAAATAGCAGGTAAACTAATATCAAATTAGATGGCTAGCGTTGCAGAGTAAGACTGTCCAGTTAAGGTCAAATGTTCAAGAGATGGTAAAATTCTGAATGGAGCTCTAAACTATCCTCTTACTGACTCGAAAATACCGTTATTAGCGCCTCTTAGCAAAGCTAATAGCACTACTCAAATACGTAAATAACTTTCTTACGCGTAGTTTGTCTAAATAAGTATGAAAGCAGTTAAGAATGTTTACCGTAAGAAAAATACATTAAATCGGTAGCAGTTATTTCTCTCCAGCTGTTCTATTGATGTTTATTGATTATTTTGATGTCATTGAGCTGTAAAATCCTGACTAGAAAAATTTGATTCCCATACAGTGCTAATTTAATAGAATAGAATAGGGTAATAGCAAAAGACATCAGATATTAACTAGCTATCACCAATGAAGAAAAATAGAGTGGGACTGATGACTAAGTCATTCAAAATTTGAAATAGCTATCGTCATCATGATATCCTGCTGAAGCAATAAAAATCTATGAGACAATATTAAAAGGACCTACTCTAGAGTTTGAAGTATCAACAAACTATGTAAATGGAATAAATTATCTACTCTATCAGTTAACAACAATAAAAATAGTCATTCTCTTATATGGATTATAATAAAGAATTGGCCATATTGCCAGACAGATCAGTTGGTTGTCTAGACATTGTGATGCAAAGTAGCTATTAATACTATTATCGTTGATGGCTTTACTTTTATATTATCATAACACAGTCATAAATATTGCAAACTATTGTCAACTTAGATAGAATAATAGATTGGATCCATTGGCAACCATGATGAACTACAGTCTATCAGCTTAAAATACTGTTCATCCCCAATAAATTTCCAAGGCTAGAAAATATTAATCTCGATTACACAAAGTTAAATAACGTAAAAATAAAATTTTGCATACAAATCTACGTAATAGTTCAATGTAGTAGGAGTTTATTTTTATAGTCTCCTATATTTAAAATTAAGCTATCACTAAAGGCGCGTTCGTGATCAATCTCTTATCGAATTAAGTAAATGATTAGATGTTAATATGTTAACACTAAATAATCGAAGAATTAATATTTTCATGTCGATCGCACTGCTAGCCTATAATATCTCATCAGACTATGCAATGACATTATAACTCAATACATGCTACGAAATACTAGAAAACTCAACACAAGTTATAAGTTAACCGCATAAAATGTAGCTGCAATGCTATTTGATTGATATTTCTACTTAGTAATTAAGGGAGAGTATCATCTTTGCCCTTGCTATCATGACACTGTAAACGTCTGAGATCAAATCAATATGCTACATCATTAATCCATCCAATTTGATGTTAATTAAATGCATTAAAAGTTTGCTTTGAACATATCACGTAATAAACCGGCTAGGTAATACAATAGGAGATAGGAGAGCAAGGCACTTCTGCTATAGACAGATGAAATTGCAAAGGGATCAGCTAAAGAAGAAAGGCAATTAGCTTTTAGCAGTAATTGCTAGTTATGATATCACATTTTGTGCATTGTTTTATATTAAGATGAGTTCAAGGTGGAGCTCACTAATTGGAATTATCTAAAGGAAATAATTAATACTTATAATAGAACAGTTACTTAGAAATTTCATCTACCATATGAAGTAATTATTATTTCTTTTTTCGTTATGGTCAATCATCAATGGACCAAAATGAATTGAACAGTGTCGATTATATGTCATTAATATTATGGAATAGATGCTATAAGCTGGTTAGTCAGTCTTACTAGAATATTTTTTGACTACTTTTAATGGATATACTTCGATATCCAGCCGTGAACATATTTGACATGGCATCAATAGTCACGGCTACCTGTTGATTCGATCACGCAATTCGACGGTCTTTAACACCGATTTCATGCAGTACTACAAATAAAAGTATCTACTACTGCAGCTTGCCTTATTCCACTGCTCTTTACTTGGTATTATATCACGTCAATTATAATTGCTAGGCGATAGAACTGTACATAATAAATCTTATGCAAAAAAAATTAGCAAGTATCATTGTAATCGTGAATATACAATATTATTCAACTCCAATGTGTATCTTTCGTCTTTTGAAGATACTATTCTCGATTATAACTCTTAGTTCGCCTATGAGATGCTAAGTATTCATTCAGTTACAGCTTTTTTTATAATGGCAGAGATATGAAACGTTATCTATGTGACGTAGATTTCTGTTTTATTTTAAATAATTCCTATAGAAAATTGATCTATTTCACTTTCTGACGGTTGCAATAATGTTACTAAAAGCAATGGTAATTTTATTTCCGAAGGATAGGATATAATTAGCTAAAACGATCTAATAGAGTCCGTAATTTATAAATTTTTATAATGCAATTGACTGGCGATGATCATGTTGATCGTTTTTGTAAATAATTTAATACAGAAGTTTATTTCACAAATCAACTTGATGATTACCTGTTGCACTTGTAATTAACGATGTCTTTAATGACGATAACGTTTCTAAAATTGGTCAAAGATTCAGTTCAAGCTCGATACAAACCCTAATTCAATTGTAGAAAAGAAATACCTTTAAGTTCATGTAGTAGCGACATTAAAAATTGAATAGACAAAAAAATTTATGGGTGTGAGGAAGTCGACATTTCAATATCATTAGCATTAATTAAGAGCGGTAGACTAGTTACCTGTTGAAATAATGGATGCAGTATGCCAATAGGGATATCAACGTTCTTCACAATAAATCACTTCCGAGATAGGTCTCAAAATGCGGCAGTGGATAGAATTATGAAGGTAGAAAATTAATTCCAAGGTATCTAGTTAGGGAGTATCGTTGGATAATATCAATCGAAAGATAATAAACCAGTTGCAAGAGAGCAGGTTAATGGTGCAGTATTATGATTTATTTGTACTTTATAGCCTTGTTTCAACTTGAACATTGGATTATTTTTCCAACAATTAATTTCAATGTTATGATCCCTCATAATCAAGGACATAAATTCACGTCATTGGCAATAAAAGCAGGCATTGTTTATGTCGTCAGGTATGCAATATCAATAAAATATGCATATAAATAATGACTTAAAAGTTGTTATCATAATATCGTTTACTATGTACTATTCAAACCGACATTATTGAATCAATCCATTCTATTTCAAAAGAAAACAAATAGCTTATAATACAAGGTCGTTTACACTTATGTCATCAATATTTTCATCAACCTTCAAGCATGTTATGATGATTTATTTTGATCCAATCGATTTGATATTGTTATTTTATGGCCGTTACTCGCTGGTACCATTCCATGATGACATTAGAAAGTAAGTATCAATATGTCGTAGAAGAAGTAAAAAACTGGTCATCACCTACTCGATATCATAGATAAATGGGACTAATCGAATCGATAAGATAGATTCAATTAATTCTTGAACTTCCTTTTTTCCTTACTCGTATCTTTTCTATCCTAACTTTATTCAATTTTAATGCACAGATTTTATTTTAATTTTTATGAGTTACTTTTCTGTCTCTAATTTTATTCCTCGGATATAGATTGAAAAGGAAATGACCCTGATAGAAAGAGCCGGCATGATGACTAAAAATTTCCATCAAGTCCTAATTATCCAATTCTCTCTCTCTCTCGCTGCAGGCAACTCGTGATTCTCTTTCATGGCCCAGTTATAACAGTTTTGATAGCACTATGCTGTGTTCTACCAACTACATTGTAATCTAGCAGTAAAATTGAAAAAATGATACAAAACAATAAAAATCCAATAGATATTCCTTTATTT